CCAAAACCCCAAAACCCCAGTTTCTAATTAGATTGATAAGAAAGCTTAAGTTAATTTATAATGTATACTAATTTTTATGTTTAGGTTTTTCTGAATAAATAAGCAATTACTAAGAAATAATAGGTAGAGCTTATTCAATTTGAATTATAATAATTATGGCATTGAATAAAAATATCCTATTTTTCCTGGGTCTAAGCATCGCCTTTTCCCAGCAGAAAGATCTCTTCATCAAGAAGTCTGTCGCACCAGTCCCACCTTCTCCACCCAGGCCACCTCTGCATCCTAAAGAGGATGACTCATCTTTCGCCAACATCGATGAGATCAGAGCCTTCCACTACGATCTAGACTTTTTCGTCAATTTTGATGAACAAAGAGTACAAGGAAATATGACCATTTAGTTATTTGCTCTTGCCAATAATGTTACTCAAGTGATTTTAGACTAAGCAAATCTCAATATCAATTAGATTGTTGACAGCAATGGTACTAAACTAGCCTACAAAATCCAAACTATTAGTCCCAACGTTTCAGACCCAATCCTCGGTGCTCCTCTTATTATCTATTTACCTCATGTTTTTAACCAAGGTAATCAGACCAATATCACAATCACCTACTAAACTACTGGTCATGATTCCGCCCTTAGTTGGTTAACTCCAGAACAAACTGCTGGTAAAGATATGCCATACGTTTATACTCAAAATGAGCCAGCATATGGAAGATCATGGTTCCCCTCTCAAGATACACCATCAGTTAAGGTCGCATACACAGCTAGAGTAACCATTAAGAAAGGTTTCGTAGTTAAAATGAGTGCTAAGGATCTCTAGTAAGTAGATCTAGGAAATGGTTTCATACAATACTATTTTACTTAAAGGATTGAGGTACCATCATACTTAATTACATTTGCAGCTGGAAATCTTGTTGAGCAGAAAGTTGGACCCAGAACTAGCGTAATCACTGAACCATCTCAAATGGCAGCATGTGCAGCTGAGCTCTCAGACCTTGAGACTCTTCTTAGTTCTGTTGAGTCTTATCTGATCAACTATGAATGGGATGAGTACAAGATTCTAGTTTTACCTCCAAGTTTCCCATTCGGAGGAATGGAAAACCCACTCTTGACTTTTGCTTCTCCAACAATCATTGTTGGTGATAAATCATAAGTATATGTTGCTACTCATGAAATCGCTCATTCATGGACAGGAAACTAAGTAACTTGTGCCAACTGGGAGAACTACTGGCTAAATGAGGGATTCACAGTCTTCACTGAAAGAAAGATTAGTGGTCAAATTTACGGATACAACTTCGCACAAACAGAAGCCTACCTTAATAACAAAACTATGTGGGATAACATGCTATCTTATGGTCTAGACAGCAACTATACTCAACTTGATCCGATTCAATTCTTCGGTGTTAACCCAGATAACACTGAGGGAGAAGTCTCTTATGAGAAAGGCTATCAATTCCTAGTATTCTTAGAGAGCCTTGTTGGCGAGGATACTTTCTAGCAATTTATGAGATCATACATTTAAGCATTCTCTGGCCAATCAGTCATTGATCTTGAAATGAGAACATTCTTTCTTACTTTTATCGCCAAGACTTTTGATCCTGCTACAGCATAATCAATCAACTCAGCTATTGACTGGAATGAATGGTTCTATGGAAAGGGACTTCCACCTGTTACCGCAGACTTCATGAATGATGATATTGCAGCTGCTTAGCTTCTTGCTTAATAATATATCCGATTGGGAGGAATCGGTTCACCTGATGGTTATCAGAAATTCAACAACTACTATATGAACTAAAAAGTGGTCTTTGTTTAAGAGCTACTTGACAACAAGGACTCATTGAATGCTGATGCCTTCCATAGAATTCAAAATGACTTGAATGTTCAAAGCATCAAGAACCTTGAATTCAGAATGAGATGGGATGTTCTTGGCATCAACCTTAAGATTAAGGAAAGAGTTACTGATGCTTAGGCTGTTGTTGGATCAATGGGAAGAATACTCTACTTAACTCCAATCTATACTGCTCTTGTAAATAATGGATTTAGAGATAATGCAAATCATTTCTACTAAATTAATGAGGCTTTCTATAGTCCATTAGCTAGAAATGCAATTCAATCTATTTTGGGAAATTCAGAATCAAAGATGACATTGATGAGCAGCCAAGGCCATCCTTCAGTTGTCAGATATTGAGTGAAACAGATTAGATTGCTACTCTTCATCCCTTCAAGAGAAAGCTATGATAAGGATATTATCTAATAATTTCAATTCTTAATCTTCGATACAACAATCAATCTTTACGAACGGGGTTTTGGGGTTTTGGGGTTTTGGGG